GGGTTAAGCTTTGAACTGTTAAAAAGCCAGTGGTTCTAACCCATCAGTTGTTCCACCAAAGAATGATGGACAGTCTGCTTCTGTAAACATTTCCAGCATCAGACACTTTAAGGAGCAATTCTACCCTGTACTATCAGGTTCCTATAAGTTAGGATGGATTAGACAGCAGTGGGATGTTTGTTTCCTGCCTCTGATTTATGCAATTATTTAAGAAAAAAAGTGTGCTTATATATTACTATTGTACATAGGATCATTATGAGCCAAAGACTTGACAACACCTGAGTAAAACAACATTGCTATTGTGATCTGTTATTAAATATGTACATTAGTCACAAGACCTACCATCATTCTATCACGACTCCATTCTCTGTATCACAACCACAAGGTATACATATACTCTTCCGTACCATTACCATATTAGATAGTATATTGCCTATTAGTTTTCTGCACATTCATTTTCTTTTTAAAAAATTGTAAGCTCTGTTCTCAGTTATGGTCACATAATTATAAATTACTTGAGGCACAAAAGATCTTTCTTCTAAAGAAAAACAAATATTCCCCAGAGAACTGTGAAATAAGATCAAGCACCGTATTGATGAGCTAACCTGCTCTTTCCGGTACTATAGTAGCTTTGTTAAATCTTGTTTCTTCTCTTTGCTTTCAAGAATAGTGAAAATACAGCTCCAGAACAATCCAAACAATTATTTGGTAAATTATTTTGGATTCAGGACATCATAACTTCTAAATTCAAAAACTTTTAAAAAGCATCTCAATGCATGGTTTTTCATATATATGTTATATATAGGAAAGAGTTGCATATACCTCCATCCCCACCCCACCCCCCAAAAAATCCTTCAGCAGGAAATAATTTGAAAACATGAAGCTAAACAATTCTTTCCTTAGGTACATACCCAAGAGATTTTAAAGCATACTTGTATACCAATATTTATGACAGATTTAGTCACAAGGATCAAAAGGTGAAAACAACCAAAATGTCTATTTACAGAGGAATAGATAATCAAAACGTGGTCTTATTCAGTCATAAAAAGGAATAAAATTGTAATACCTGTTACAACATGGATGAACCTGAAAACATGAAAATACTGTATTATGCAAGTAAGCTAGATACAAAGGAGCTCTGCTAGCATAGTGATTATGTATTGGGCTGCTAACCTCAAGGTCAGCAGTTTAAAACCACCAGCAATTCCATGGGAGAAAGATGAGGCTTTCTGCTCCCATAAAGATTTACAGCCTCGAAAACCCTTTATGGGGTCACTATGTGTTGGAACTGACTCCACGACACACGATCGCCACCACCAAGCTAGATACAAAAGACCAAATAGTATATAATTTCATTTACATGTAATGTCTAGAATAGATAAAGTAGATAAGTGAAAGGGGAGGGAGGAGAAACGCATGGGGAATCATTGTTTAATAAATATAGTTTTTATTGCGGGTGAATTAAGTTTTATAAGAACATAATAGTAATAGTTGCACAACACTGTAAATGTAATGAATGCCATGAAAATGTACATTTAAAAATGGTTAATGTGGAGATATATATGTTATCTGTATACAGAGGCTTCAAAAGTTTGGGGAATAGAAAGATAGTGAAATTTTTCCAAGAACTTTTGGAAGCTTCCTAGTATTTACACACAGTACAATGTTTAAAAAGAAAAAAATCGAAGACAGAAGTCTGGTTTGATATAACACCGTAGTTAACATATGTCTAAATGAGTATGGAGAAAACCTTGCTGTAAACAAATTTATAGCTAAGAACACAAATCTTAACGATGAACCCTACCTCCCACTGAAGGTGATTTCATCCACCGAGTAGTATCTGGGTTTGAAGTTGACAGCAGTCTCAGTTGTATAGTACTGCCCATGGAAATGACTTTTACAAACTTTTGAAGAGATGGGCTGTTATAGAAGTCATTGTATCCAGGACGTTGAGGTGTCAGGATGGTAAATGTGACATTACCATGGGAATGTGGAGGGAAGCTGTTGATGACAAAAATTTGAAGTAATGGAAATCTATTCATATTTTTGACAAAAGAGAATTCACAACTTTGAGAGACATTGCTATATAATATCAGTAACAGCTCAAACTCTTCTGGAAAGCAAATGTAACCCTTGTGTCTCATGAGCAAACAGTATAGAATAATAAGATAAATACATTTTAAGACATTTCCAGAAGACATACAGAAAATTCTGTTACTATAGAAAATATTTACTAAACACTCTTAAGTGTTTGAAATGAAAAATGAAATGAAAATCAGATTGCAAAGCATCAGTAAAATTGCAAACAAGAGACACTCTCAAGTCTTGTAAAAAGGGACCTCAAAAAATTGGTGGAGAAATTCCATTATCTTCCTACTTATTTTTTCCAATAACATTTTGAAGCCCCCTCAGACAAGAACTTTAAACATAGTTTAGAACTCAATTTAGATAGGAAATTCAGGAGAATATGGTTTGGGAAAGTTGATGATGGAGGGTGATCTCTACCCACTCTAGCCTAGCGAGCTAGTTTACATGTAGGTTAATACTTAACACATTAATCTAATAGAATTAACTCCTAAATTCCATAGAAAATATGGAATATTGTTTTTAAAAACAATGATTTAAAAAACATTCATACTTGGGAAGCTGAAGGCAGTTCACAGAATCAGGAGTTTTCAAATCTCCATTGTTTCTCATTCCAATATCACTGCAATTTCTAGCAAAATATTGCCAGTCTTCCCAATATAGGCTGTCCTCTTTCTTCCTTTGAATCCTTATTGCTGTTGGTTGAGGACTAAAAAACTGAATAGCAACATAGAACCCCTGAAAATGGATACGTTAATTAATGCAATTAAAGTTTTAAGTTTGAACTAGCAGTATAAATCAAAATATAGAGTTATTAAATTCTAATGTAATGACTTTTTCTCATAATTATAATTATCAAATATTTATTAGACGTTCAGAAACTTCATAATCCTAGAGTAAAAGGAACACATTTTATCATGGTATATCAACCCCCTTTCTCAAGGGTTTTCTAAATCAAAATTCAACTTTTATATAATTATAATACCTATAAGTCTACAAAGAAGACCAGTTGATACCAGTATTATTCAGATTTACACACCAATGACTAAAGCCAATAATGATGAATTCTATCAATTTCTTCAGTCTGAAATTGAACAAACATGCAATCAAGATGTATTGATAATTACTGGTGAATGGAGTGCAAAGGTTGGAAACAAAGAGGAAGGATCAGTAGTTGGAAAATATAGGGCCTTGGTGATAGAAACGATGCTGGGAGTAGCATGACAGAATTTTGGAAGAACAATGACTTTCATTGCAAATACCTTAAACAACATAAAAATGGCTGTGTACACAGAGCTCACAAGATAGAATACACAGAAACCAAATTGACTACATCTGTAAGAAGAGATGCTAGAAAAACTCTATATTATCAAGCAAAACAAGGCCAGGGGAAGCCTATGGAATAATCTATTGTATTTGTAAGTTTAGGCTGAGGATGAAAAAAATTAAATCAAGTCCATAAAAGCCAAAATATTATCTTGAACATATCCATCTGAATTTATCTCAATAAGAGATTTGATACATTCGACACTAACAACCAAAGACCAGAAGAGTTGTGGGATGGCATCAAACAAATCATACAGGAAGAAAGCAAAAGTTCATTAAGAAGACAGGAAAGAAGGAAAAGACCAAAATGTATGTCAGAAGAAACTCTGAAACTTGCTCTCCAGCATAGAGATGTTAAAGTAAATGGAGCAAATGAGGATATAAAAGAGCTGAACAGAATATGTCAAAGGGCAGCTAAAGAAGACTAAGTAAATTATTACAATGAAATGTGCGAAGACCTGAAGTTAGGAAACCCAAAGGGAAGAACATCCTCAGCATTTTTCAAGCTGAAATAAGTGAAGAAAAATTTTCCTCAACTTTTAGTATTAAACGATTCTATGTGCAAAATATTGAATGACACAGAAAGAATCAAAAGAAAATGGAAGGAATACGCAGTCACTGTACCAAAAGAAGTGGATGATGTTCAACCATTTCAATAGGTACCATATTATCAAGAGCCAATTGTACCAAAGAAGAAGTTCAAAGTGTACTGAAAGCATGGGTAAAGAACAAAGCTCCAAGAATTGATGGATTACAAATTGAAATCTTTTAACAAACTAAAGCATTGCTGGAGGCATTCACTCATTTATGCCAAAAAATTTGAAAGACAACTATCTGGCCCAGTGATTGGAAAAGATCCATATTTATGCCAATTTCAAAAAGAGGTGACCCAATGGAATGCAGAAATCATCAAACAATATCATTAATATCACATGGCAGTAAAATTTTGCTAAAGATACTTTAAAAACAGCTGCAATAGCACATTGACAGGGAACTGTCAGAGGTTTAAACTGGATTAAGACAAGAACTTGGAATGGGGGATATTATTGCTGATGTCAGATGGATAGTGGCTGAAAGCAAAGAATACCAGAGAGATGTTTACCTGTGCTTTACTGACTATGCAAACACTTTCAACTGTGTGGATCATGACAAAGCTACGGATAACAATGCCAAGAATGGGTATTCCAGAGTACTTAATTGAGCTTATGAGGAACCTGTATGTAGACCGAGAGGCAGTTGTTTGAATAAAAAAATGGGGGACTAAATGGTTTAAAATTAGGAAAGGTGTACACCAGAGTTGTATTATTTCATCATACTTGTTCAGTCTATATGCTGAACAAATCATATGAAAAGCTGGATTATATGAAGAAGAAAATGGCATCAGGATTAGAGGAAGACTCATTAACAGATGATACAACCTTACTTACTGAAAGCAAAGAGGACTTAAAATATGTACTGAAGAAGATCAAAGATTATAACTTTCAGTATGGCTTACATCTCAGTGTAAAGAAAACAAAAATCCTCACACCTGGACTGATAAATAACATCATGAAAAACTGAGAAGACTGAAGTTGTCAAAGACTTCATTTTGTTTGTATCCACCATCAACACTTATAGAAAAAGAAGTCTAGAAATCTAAGGAGGTATTGAACTAGGCCTGTCTGCTGCACAAGACCTCTTGGAACTGTTCAAGAGCAAAGTTGTCAGTTTCAGGAGTCAATCTATGGTATTTTCAGTATCTTCATATGCATGTGAAAATTGGACAATGCATAAGTAAGACCATAGAAGAATTGATACCTTTGAGTTATGGTATTAGAGAAGAAAATTAAAAGTACCATGGACTGTCAAAAGGGCAAACCAAACTGTCTTGGAAGAAATACAGCCAGAATGCTCCTTAGAAGCCAAAATGGCCTACTTCATTGTTTATACTTTGGATATATCATTAGGAGGAACCAGTCTCTGGAGAAGGACATCATGCATGGTAAAGTGCAGGGCCAGTAAAAGAGAGGAAGACCCCGTGAGATGGATTGGCACAGGGGAGGCAGTAATGGGTTCAAGCATAACAACAATTGTGAGGATAGTGTAGGATAGGGCACTGTTTCGTATTGTTGTGCATATGGTCGCTATGAGTCAGAAACGACTCAT